CAAGGCGGGCTCTGGAACGGGAGCCAGGAGCTGGGCTGGGAGGAGCTGGAGAAGATGCTCTTCCTCTTCGCAAAGGAGCCCGTCACCATCAGCCTCACAGCAATGTACCTGGTGTCCTTTGTGGTAGGCTTCGTGGGCAACATCATGTCCATCAGGGTGCTCACTCGGAAGCGCCGGAGTCGGGTGTCCAGCCTGAGTGCCACCCGCAGCCTCCTCATCAACCTGGCGGTGTGCGACCTCATGGTGGTGTGCGTCTGCATGCCCATCACCGTGGGCAACCTCATCTACAAAGCCTGGGTGTACGGGGACTTCCTCTGCCGGGCGGTGCCCTTCATCCAGGCTGTTTCTGTCTCTGCCAGCGTCCTCAGCCTGACCGTCATCAGCGTGAACCGGTACTACAGCGTGCACAATCCACTCAACGCCCGGTCTTTCTTCACCCAGAAGAGGATCCTCAGCACCATCCTGGTGGTGTGGTTGTTGTCCTCAGGGATATGCATGCCCCTCATCTTCATGAACAAACGGGATGAGATTGGGGTGGTGGAGGGCTTGCCTCTGGTGTTTTCCATCTGCAGGGAGATTTGGCCTCAGGAGAGGCTCAAGCAAGCCTACAACTTTCTGCTCTTCTGTGCCCTCTACTGCCTGCCGGTCCTGTTCAACATGGTCATCTGCTTCCTCACGGTGCGCCGGCTGTGGAGCCGTAGCAGCCAGCTGAAGGAGAGCACTGCCCTGAACCGATCTCTGCCAGCCTCCAGGCTGAAGATCCGGAAGAAGGTAGCACAGATGGTGGTGGCCCTGGTCCTGCTGTTCGCAATCTCCTGGCTGCCCGTCTACCTGATGGACATCTGGATTGATTTCAACATCCCCAAATCTTTGCAGGATGTGACTCCTTCTCCTTGGATCCTGCAGCTCAGACCTTTTGCCCAGTGGCTTGGCCTCACCAATTCCAGCCTCAACCCTATATGCTATTGCTTTGTTGGGAACCTCTACAGGTCAGCCAAGGAAATGAAGAGCAAATACCACCAAAGAATGGTCTCTCTCTTCAACTTCTCTCTGTCCGAAGGGACAACCCGTTCCTCAGTCCCAGAGTTGCTCTCTTACCGGAGTTCAATGGAGTCTACAAGAAAAGGACCTTCCGCCACCCCCACCATGGGCAGGAGGGGTCAGGGACGTCATGGCCATAAGAACAAGTGTGGACGCTTGAACTCCTGCCAGCATCCACCTCTGAACACTGTCTCCAGTGAGAACACTTCCTTGTAATTCTGCTCAGGAAGTGCACCTCACACCTTCATCTGCATTTAATGACTCTTTAGAGGTCTTTCTGAACCAGATATTTTAATGATCGAAAAAAACTTTCTTCTAATCACTCCCACCACCAGTTTAAAAATACTGAGCCAGGGCAAGAAGCAAATAACGAGAGAAAAAGATGACGTATTTTATCTCAGATCAAGTTTTAAGACAAACGATTTTTACTGGGGACAACTAGATGTGTAGCCTGTTGCCCAGTCAACAGTCACATAATTAGATAGATCAACTTCCCAACAAGTGAGCTCTCCCTGCAGCTCCATCTCTGGATGCAGAGAAGCCCTTTGGATACAGCAACAATTTGACTGCTTGCTGCTGCTCACCCTGTGCTGATAAAGAGCAGTGATAAGAGGCACTCTCTGCTCCAAATCCGTCAGTTGTAGTTGCAAGCGGTGAAGAAATGCTAGAAACAGCTTTATAAAAGTAATAGTAGTGGAGAATTTCACACACTACCACTTGAGATTTCATTGTCTGATCGTATTGTTTCACTCCTCCACACAAATAAATTCTCCTGATGTGAAGAGACAGTGCCAGAAGTACTAAAGCAACCATCATCACTCCACATTTGGGAATTCAGAAGGGATAATGTGGCCTTGGAGGTGATTTAGGAAATGCAATAGGAAAATATTCCTTGGGCATCAGCTCTCTTTCTTACAGCTACGTTCCTGCAGGAGGAGTGGAAAGAACCGGGCATCTATCAACATGATTTGCAATTGAAAAACCAGCTCTTGTTCAGCTGTGTCTGTACCAAACAAAGTCAATGGCATGTGAAAATAAAAATAGAAAGTGGTTTATTGCTAATAAAATCAGAATCAACAAATGCAATGCTATTTGTCTGGGAAGGAGAGAATCAAAGTGCTTGCTTTTCCTGAGGATCAGAAGTAGGCTAAAACCTATTTCTTCCATCATGTCCTTTAAAGGAGGCTTTGATAAATAAATTGTATATTTTTATTACGTTAGCATCGAAAGGCCCCACTAAAGCTTGAGAATTTTATTGTACTGAGCACTGGATCTGTATTCATAAGGAAAGGAAACCTTTCTCCCAAAGAGCTCAAAGTGAAAATACATCAGACCAGGGAGAAAAAAAAAAAATACAACAAAGAGCCAAAAGGCTGGAATGAAACTAGGGATGAACCCCTTCCCTGTGCCTGCCCACTGCTCTGTGTGAGGGGATGCACGCCGCCTCCTGATGCCAGAAGAGCCCCTGCCCCGGCTACTTGTGTACCTGCGCCCGGCGCAGCAGAGCTCTCCTCTTAGCAAGCCCCAGAACAAAGGCAGGAGCCTTCCTGGGAGAGGATTTTGCATGTAATGGAACTCAGACTTTTGATGACTGGGGGCTTTTTTTTTATTACTGAACAAGGGAATGATGTTCTGGGAAATCTAAGTTTCAAATAATATCCCTCTGCCTTCTAGGGAGCCTTTTGCTCACAAAAAAATAGAGACGAAAAATAGCCATTCAATCCAACAGAATTCCCACCTTTGGAATGATCACACAGTAACATTTTATGTTACTAATGATCTGCCTGGAAAACAAAAGATTCCTCCTTAACAGGCAGTGCCATCTGCAATTTGTATTCTTTTTTTGTGTGAACGAGAAAGAAATTACAACTACCCAGATTTACTTGGGGTGAGAAATGGCTTTTATGTGTGCTGGGAGATGAGAACATCTGCATTTTTGCAGGTGATATAGGAGTGTACTGCTTGATCTTTTAGTAGCTGTGGAGAAAAGCCTGTGAAGATTTTGCTTCCTCTTTCAAGGCATATTTTCAGGGCTGGCAAAATGCACCAGGCTGAGGAGCATTAAAAGCTTGCTCCGAATGCCCACTGACTCCAGGTCCTGGAAACAGATGTCCTCCACCCCCAGACCAGATGTGACACAATACTGAAACTTCCCTACATTGCCCTGACCAATGTATTTAATCCTGCCCTGAACAAACTGCAGAGAAAGGACTGTGGAGATGCCAGACCAGCTCTGTCCCACGTGGTGGCCCACTCTGAAAATGGCCAGGATCAAATGATGCAATCAAAGGTGCAAGAAATCCACATTTTAAAGTATCCCAGAGGAGATTTTTTTTTTTTTTTCCTCTCAGCTCATGAGCTGTTGCCTGGGTCCTACCCTGAAAGTCTCCGTACCCTCTACGGAGGCAGAAATACCAGGGACTGTGTGTTCTCCCAAACATGCCTGTGCCTTCCCGTCCTGATGCAGATGCCCATGCCTTTCTCCAGCCCCACAGCGCTCCTGACCTCCAAGATATACTGTGCCAAGAGCCACTTCCACTGGGCAAGGTCATCTCCTCTTCACACTTTTAAATGTATTTTCCAGTTCATTCAATGTTCCTGTTTTCCTATAATAAAGTCAAATTGCTCACTTTAACTCCTCTTTGTCTCCCTTGGTTGCTCTCTCCCTATCCCCCACACTCCAACCGCTTCTCCACTGTTTCTATAGCGAAATCTCCCCCTGCCTCTCACTGTTATCAGTCTTTGCCTGCAAATTCCCCTCACTCTAACGACTCATTCATGTCTTCACTCCTCTGATGAAAAATCCCTTCCTGCCCTGCTGATTTGAATGGCTCCTTTTGTGCTGCAGACACCTGTTTGTGATGGAGAACACTGATTTATTTTGCACGGCTTACCCAACGGCTGCCAGGTAGTAATGAATTTCGGTCACTATCACCCAAGGGTAAATGAGAAGCAGTGACGTCAATGTGAAAGCCACACAGCATCCCGTGAGCCGCCCGGGCTCTGGCAGTGATTTTATTAACCTGAACAGGTCTGTGTAACGCAGCAGTGCCTGGGTGACTCATGCTGCTTCCCAGTGAGGTGAAACCTCGGCATTTGGGAAAGTGGCTTTTTTCCCCCCCTCCTATCCGATAAAACATCTCATACTTAGGGCTGAGAAGACATCTGAGGGTCCTCCAGGCCACACAAGCTCCTTGATTTGGATGCCAGGCACTTTGATAGGCATTCAAGGGACTCCTGGCCCTTCGAGGAATCAGCAGCAGATACAGCTCTGGCTGGTGAACACAGATGGTTTCCTCAAAGGAACTCAAGCCGAAAGTCTCGCACTCGGTGTGTGGTTGAGGAAACGTGTTTCTCTCTAAATGTGCCCAGGCAGACTGGAAATGTGAATTTTAGATGTCTCGAGGACAATGTTTTCCCGCGGCAATGCTGCTAATGCATCTCAGTCCCACTCTTCCCCCCACGGGTCTTTCTTCTCTGCTGTGCCCTTTGAATCAATACAGGCATTTTACCACATTACCAAAATAGGATGTTTAAAACAGCTTTACTTGAATCCCTTTGCTGCAGTAAAGACTTACAGAGAGTTGCTGTTCGATAACTCTCTCTGGGAATATCCCACGATCTGTTCTTGTACTGTCAGTATTGTCTCAAAGATGCTACAGCTTTATTTTCTGCCTGTGAACCACAGAGAGATGAAAAAAGAGATAATCTTTCATACGAGGTATCGTAGAGGTATATACAATCACAGCTGATACGTAGCCCTTGTATGGAGAATGACGAATCACTGTTTTTTACAATAAAATACTCAGGGAAAGCCAATTAAATGATTGACAGCATGTGTAAGGGCAAGGCAGCACCTTTTCTCATACTGTGAGCAGCAGCTGAGCTCACGGTGGTGAGGGCTGAAAGCAATAAAAAGGGTTCAAGAGGAGACTGGACTGTTCGCAGCAGAAAGGGCCAACAAGGGCTATTAAAAACAACAATGCAACTTTTGGCTTAGAGAGCATTGGGTACATAACCTATAATTTCCACTTTTGCTCCTTCCCAGGACACGTGTACCGGCCACTATTGGGAGCAGGACGTTGGGCTGAGCATCGTTTGGTCTATTCGGTACCCTTGTTCTTACATCCCTATGCAAAAAAAGCTCCAAATTAGTCTGAGTCCCGTTTTAAAGAGTGGGGGGAGAGCAGGGGATGATTTCAGACCCGGCATAATTTGATCAACAGTAAGGCTTTGCAGGACAGAGTCATCTGGAGGTAGGACACGTTAACGCTGACACAGCGCAGGCGAGAAATGCTCACTCAGTCACTTGCAGAGCGAAGCCGAGGAGTCCCAGCGGATGGTGCACGGTGCCCACTCCAGTGCAACACAACAGAAATAACAGATCCATCCCTCTTCTAATATTCATCAGCCCTCTGGGTGGGTCAGCACCTTCCTTGCAACAACCCTGAGCGTCCCAGAAAGAATGTCCTCCAAAGGGAAACTCTGCCTGTTGGTATTTTACACATTAGACTTATTGATGCTGGGATTCAAACTAGGATGAAAGGTGGCTGGTGAGTTATCTGCAACACCAGCAGCCCCCAGCACGGTTCCTGTGTCTCCTCCCGCCCTCCCCCCACCACAACACATCCCATACACAAACCCCTGAACTCTCCTGACTTGAAATATTTAAATGAACAGGGAGAGCACAGAAGTAGCCTGGGTTTCCAGCGCATTACAATGCCCTTGTTGTAAACAACCAGAGAACTAACAGTGCGAATTTGCTAGGAAAAGTCAGTGCAGCTCAGTTTACCTTTGTGATTATATTCACCACAAAAATAAATCACCGGAGGCTGCTGAAAGAACAAATAAAAGAGCAGCTATGAGTAGTACTACCAAAGAGATCGCTGGAGCCCTCTGGGAGTCAGCCTCCAGGAAAGTACTGCTCGCCTGGCACATACGAGGATCATATAAGACTTTCCCAAACTTTCTGGCAATGAATGACTGCTGCTTAAGTCAGTCCCAGGGGCACAGGAATTGCAGTAGTTGCTTTCTCTGCCTGCTAAACATCTTTAGGCAAAGTCCCAGGACTCAGAGGGCTGACGCAACGCAGCTGTGAAGTCAATGCAGTCTCATGCAACCGCCTACCCCCAAGCTTCCC